GGTCCGGGCAACACGGGCCGAAACAGGAAGGCTCACCTCCTTAAGCCCCTTTGGCGAGGAGAACAAAGTTCTGGGATTTGAACGTGTCTGGGGTCCTCTCGAAGGACGGCCTGTGAGTCATATTCAGGGACGCGCGAGCTAAGTGATCGTAGAGATGACTGTCCCTGATCAACGGGAGACAAAATTAGCCTTCTTACCTCTTGCTTTTATTGGACCAGATGGTGCGAAACAGAACTGGTTTTGGTGAGCGGTACAAAAAGCAAAGCGAATGCTTAAGAACCTCTCTTCCTTAAAATAATTCGCGAGAGTAGAACTTCAGCAACATTGAAGTAGGGAGTTTAAAGGACACCAGGCTGTGAAAGCTTGTGTTCCGCTGTGGAGTGGCACGTGGGTCCACACATTGTCACGCATTGTGGGTTTACTCAGTATATGAACTTGGGGTTTAAGACGCTGATTCTGGGGGGGGACCATTTTGACCTTTGCACTCATGTTCAGTACATTTTTTCCTGAGGTTGCCAGCAGCTGCTAAAATGAACCTACATCAATTTTCTTTCTTTCGTTTTTGTTCAAACAAGAACAAAAATAAAAATTCTTCATCCACAAGCACTGTTGTAATCTTAACATAGCTCAAATAAAAGGAAAGAAATTTCATCTACGGTTCTGTCCAGCAACGTAAAGATTTTGTCTCTGTACTTTTTGTTGACCTACAAACATGACTTGTCTGCGGCTATAATCACAGTGCAGACACGCATTTCCATTTTGCCTTTGAACCTGAATGGAACTCGTACTGGGTTTTGCAGTTTGCTTCCTAGTCTTTGTTTCTCATTTTAATTAGTTGGAAAACCTCCCATGGATCAGATTTGCCACGATTTACTTAACCTGTCCCCCATGCTGGTCGTTTAAACAGTAACGGCCTCGGCCTCGCAGCAGGTGCTGTAGGAGCGATCCGTTGCTTAACAACAAATACTTTTGATCTCGCATAGTTTCTGTGAGTCAGGAATCAGGGAGCAGCCGAGAAGTTGGTGATGGCTGGGGGTCTCATCCGAGGCTGGACTGGGGACGGCTGGGTGGGGGGCTCTGTTCCTTACCGCGCTCACTTCCTCGCAGGCTGCTGGCCGTCCTCACGGGACGATGGCTGGCCCCCCACAGCAAGCCCTGGGACAGAGGCAGGTGCAAAACCGGAGCCTAATCCTGGGAGCGGGTGCCGTCGCTCTCACCTGCAGGAGAGAGGGCCACTCCAGGGGCGTGACTGCCGGGGGCGGGCCGCCACGGCCGCTCTGCCCCGTCTCCCTCATTTTCAAACCCTCTGTCTTTGATCTATTGTACAAAGACCTCTGTTGCCGGAAAAATTTGCCACAGCCTTTCCAAGCCCAGACATTCAAACACTACTCCTCCAAAGCTCTGTACATCGTACTTCCTGGGTTGCGGGGATAAAGCCACCTTCATAGGTAGGAGCTGGTTTCTGGAACTTCTGACATCCTGCCGTTGGACCTCTACCGAGTGAGAGATGAGGTAATGCACAGCTTTCAAAGCTTACGTTTTTTTTGGCACAAGGAACACTAATTAAAAATAAAAAAAGAACCGAAGAACCAGGATGGCTATTTAAAAAAACACACAAAAAAACAGAAAACAAGAAGTTTGGCGTGGACAAACTTCTCTCCTTTTTTTGTATGACTGAAATAGGTTATTAAACCCCTCATGGGAACAAAAAACTTACAAAAATCCAAACTCCAAAACAGCCAAACCCCAAATCAAAATAACCAAACCCCCTGCGCTTCCACCTTTGTAACACACTGAAACGCTGTCAGCCTTGAGTGTAACCTTCCCGATGCTGTGCTCTGGACCCTCTCACTCTCCAGAGCAGGCGCTGCGTCTGATTTTTTTTCCCTCTGGATGACTAGTGCTTAGGTAATGCTGGGCATTTCGATATTGGCAGATGGCAATGACAAGGCCGGTGACATCAGGCTGCGTGTCCCGAGAAGGGCAGGGCTGTTCCACCTGCCGCCCTGGGGAGCAGCCCCTCCCCTGCCCCCTGGTAGCGGCCCAGCGCACGCTACGGTGCCTCCTCATCAGATCGCCATGTTTTCTCCCAGCTCTTGAAACTGGAAAACATTTATGAATAATCCTCCTACCTTGCATCAGAGAGAAAGAATTCCAATCTCAAGGCTAGCAGATTTTAAGGCTCAGCTATGTGAAGGTTATGTACTTTTTTTTTTTTTTTTTGAAGGGTGCTTTCCAAATAATTCCTGGTGTTGTGTAACAGGAGGCTCATTACTGGGTAACAAAGCCTCCATTGAGAGAGCAGCCGCGGCCCTACATATAGTGCCCTTGATATGCCAGAGCAAAACCCTGATTGACCCACAAATGTTACAGGCGGGTGGCGGTGTGCAGACAAATGCCAATGAAGTCTCCGTCAACCAGGAAAAAGAGGGAAAACATACACGTCCGCTTACACATTAAACTGAGAGGTTTGACACCAATGCAAGGATTTTATGTTTCTTTTCTATTTTCAACAACTTGTAAGAGCACCAAGAAGTTTTGGTGGCAGCAGAACACAAAACTTTTTTCTGCGGTTTGCCCTGTTTGACTAAGGAAGTGGTATGTGACTCGAATAGGCTGGTGGCAGAAAACAGGCTTGAGAAGAGTCATGAAGGAATCGGGCAGGGCTGAGACTCCAAGAGCCTCGGCTGAAGCGCGCGTCCACACACAGGTGTGCCGCTCAGAAGCCGGCCGGCTCCTGGTGCGTGTCCTCGGCTCCGGCGCCTCGCCCCCTCCACCTGGAGCGCTCCGGCCCCTGACCTCATCTCACCCTCTGTGGGGACTGTGAGCAATGTCTGGACATCTTCAGCCTCCTAGGTGAGAATTTTCTGGAAATACAGCTACTATTCCCAAATTGGCAGGTCCATTTTTTTTCCTAGAAAGAAAAAAGAAAAAAAAAACCTGAGCTAACACCCTGACCATAAATTTGACTTTCTACTCCCCCTTCCTCTTTTCTGTGGCCTTTCCTCTTTGAAGCCACCTTTTTTTTTCCTTTTAAACTGATTTTAGACAGAGAGGGAAACATCAATTTGTTGTTACTCTTATTTATGCATTCACTAGTTGATTCTTGTATGCCCTGACCAGGGATCAAACCCACAACCTTGGTGTATCGGGATAACACTCTAACCAATCCAGCTACCCGGCCAGAGCTCAAAACCACCTTTTTTTGATCAACTATAACAAGTTCAAAGGAAAAAAACTATCAAACTCAATGAAAACTCTTACTTGCAGATAACATAAAATGCTTCCTCTAATTTTCCTCATTTTTTGACAAACGTGCACCCTTCGTCACGAGAGGCTAGGAGGAAAGAGAACAGGGAGCCCAGCCCAATGTATGGATGGCCAACTCCGACCTTGCGTGCCACAGATGGCGAAGCAGAAACGTCGTCCTCATGCACAAAGCACCTCAGCCAGCCCGTGAGCCTGGACTGTGCTTAGCACCGAATTCCATGACCAGCTTGGTGTGGCTGATGCTGGCATGGCAGGCGCCAGCCTGGGAGCCAGGCCTGCCCATTACTCGGTTTTGGAAACAGCAAACAAACAAAGAAACGAAAAACAAACTTCCTCTTCCCAGGGTCTCAGTTTCTTTATGTGTAAAATCAGGGCGCAGTAGTGGTGAGCCTCAGACTTAGGTTTCTTTCAACTACTGTGGCACGTTCCCAAGCAGGATGAGTCCCAGGCTCCTGGATCTCAGGAGACATCCAGGTCACAGGGGAGACCGAGCAATCACACTCTACACAGTGGCACTTCTGAAGGAGCACAGGTTGGCCCACCTGGATGGCCAGGCGCCTTCCTCTGCGTGATTGCACAGCGGCCGCATGCACAGGTCCTCGCTCAAGGCAACCCAGCCATCCTGGTCCTCTGCGCGGTCTGCGAACGTACCAAGCTGGTCGGGACTCGGGGCCTTTGCACATGCTGCTCTCGCTGCCTCTGGCTTCCTACAGGGATGGTGGCTCTTTCCTCCGTGCTGGTCCGTCAGCTCTGCTTAGGGGTCACCTTCTCTGAGGGGGCCGTCTTTTACTACCTTCTGAAACAAAGTCTTCCCTCACAGCTTCTTTTAAAAAACAAAAACAAAAACGGAGGTTTAATTTATTTATTTTTAGAGAGAGGGGAAGAGAAGGAGGGAGAGAAACCCTCACACATCCCCTGGGGGGACTGGCTGCAACCCAGGCATGTGCCCTGCCTTGGAATCGAACCTACAATCCTCCGACCTTGTGCTTTGTGGGATGACACTCAACCCACTGAACCACACAGGTCAGGGCCTCTGTCTTATTTCAACATTCGATCCCTTCTTTGGCCTCTCCCAGTTTGTAACCATTCGACTTACTTGCTCTCCCCTCTGCCTGTCAGCTCCACAGAGCAGGTGTCCTTTCTCTCTGATCTCAAGTGGTATAACCCGGGGGTGTCCAGCCTGTGGCCCAGGATGGCTATGAACGCAGCCCAACACAAAATCGTAAACTCACTTGAAACATGATGATATTTTTGGCCCAGAGGTGCCAAGAGGCTGGACACCCCTGCAACCCAACGCCTCGTCCACGCGTAGGTCTCAGTAATCATTTGTCAAGCAACAGCCTTGGCAGCCCCACCATTGCGAGAAGCTACGAGGTCCCCTCTGGGGGCTTCCGGGCCCCACTAGGCTTGGACAGGCTGCAGTGGTCACTTACTTCTCTCGCCCCCTTTCTCTGGTTCTTTGAAATTCTTTTCCTTGAGGAAAAGGCTCATATGACATCATGGCACGCGCCCTATGCCTCAGTGACATCATCACCGCCGCTCACTATGTCACAAGCCCGTCCCCCGGTCCCTGTCCCGTTCCTTCGGAGCCCCAGACCTTCGCAGATATCCCGGGGGAGCCCGCCTCCCTCCACGTGGACGGCCGGCTCCGCCCCAGCCCGCCCGGCGATGACGTCACGCCCCAGGGCTGGCGTCACGTGCCCCCCCCGCCGGGGGCGGGCCTTGAGGGCGGCCCTTCCGGTCGGCGGAGCCTGGCGGCCCGAGCGGCGGCGGCAGCCGAGACGCGGGGATGGCGGGCGCCGGGGGCGAAGCCCGGTTCGCGGGGCTGTCGCTGGTGCAGCTGAACGACCTGCTGGAGGACGAGGGGCAGCTGGCGGAGATGGTGCAGAAGATGGAGGAGGTGAGCCGGCGGGCCCGCGCCGGGTGCGGGCGCCGCGAGGGCGTGGGGGGCGAAGGACCCGACGCGGGCCGAGCCGGGAAGAGCGCCCCTGGCCGGGGCCTGGGAGCCGAGGGGGGCTGTGGTCGAGGATTAGGGGTGACAGACCGGACTGCTGGCGCCGAGGGCTTGGTCTGGGCAGAGATCTGGGGGGGCTTCAGGGGAAGGTGGAGGGGTACAGGGAGGCTGGGGCGGTTATGGGGGTCGGAGAGTAGGCTTTGAGGGGCTGCGTGAACTAGCGGGCTGTGAGCTCTAAGAGAGCATTTTGGGGGTTCCGGGCTGGGTTTGGGGGGTCGAGTGTCTGTATCTGAGTCTGAGACGCAGTGTGAGACGGGCTTTAGGGCTGGGCGGGGGTCCCGGTGGTGGGGAGGCCTCGTACAGACGCAGCCAGTACGACCCGGGGGGGCCTGCAAATCCGAGGGGTTCCAGGGGTCAGAGGGGCCCGGGGGTGGACTTCGTTTTGAAATGGTCCTCACAGAGTTATCCCAGGGCTGTGGGTGGGCTAAGGGGGTGGCCGGACCCCTTTCTCCATTTCGAGCTGCCTTCCCCTCCATGAAAGAAGGGACTGTGGGACAAGGTGGCCCAGGGTGGCTTTGCCTTAAGGTGTCTTACTCCCCCCCCACCCCTGGGAGATTTCCTGGAGCTGACAGCCCGCCCCCACCTCTTTGACGGCAGAGGGCTGCCTCCCTCCCTCTCTCGCTGGGTGGTTTGCTCTCCCGTGACTGACTTGACCCCTGTGCTTCCGCCTCCCCTTCTGCCAGCCTTTTGAACTCTTTCTCTGAACTTCCCGATCCTGTGGGTCTGGGTCCTGGCCAAGCAGGTGGACCCAGGCCGGTCCCCGCACTGCTGCGGCCCAGCCACCACTCCTCCTCCTTTGTCTCTGAAGTCTGAGCCTTCCCACGCCTACCGGCTGAGCCAGCCTCTCACCCAGAAGCCTGTGGAGGGGGGACTTGGGAGGGGGCATTTGGCTTTCTCTCCGAAGAGGGATTGTTCAGCCCCGAGCCAGCCCCCTTCAGAGGGGCTTGTCTGGAGGTTGCACATTCAAAATCCCTGGAAAACCCTCAACAGATCATTGTCCGGGGCTACAGAGGAGCCACTGTAGTGAGATGGTATCAGTCTTTCCGTTAATACACCCCTTGTATTCACTGGCTTGTAACTTGGCACATATAACGTGGCTCCGAGATGCAATTTACCCCATTTATGGTCTCCATGTGGCACTTTCCATTTTAGAAAATAATAAGTGACAAAATCCATCTTTCTCGACTGAATGAGAGTTTCATGTGTCCAAAGAGAGAAAATCTTTGCTGTGGTTCTCTGCCTGGCAGCTGCCAGGAGACCTTTGTTGATTGCCAGCAGGCATCTTCCTGGTGTAATAACAAAATGATAGGTGTGTTTTTCTCCCGGGAGACACAAGCACGGTAGCCCTGGGGATAGGGCGTTAATAGAAATAAACGGCTTTTTAGTGGTGGGAAGGCTGTGGAGGGGAGCAAGGCTGTGGACAGGCTGGTCGGGGCCTCCCTTGTTTTCTCTGCCTATGAAACTAGAGAGTGCTATTTAAGGGGAAAGGCAAATTAATCCAGCAGCGTTTCTGTTTATTGTGGAGTTGTTTTGTTTTTTTTTTTTTTTTAAGTAAAGGTGACCTTCATACCAGCGTGTCCTATACAAATACTGGCCACGGGCTGAACTCCACTTGACTGGACCACATAGTTCACATTCATAACTTAGCAGCAGTTTGTTCTTCAGGGTGCAGTGCTTTTAAATGAAACAAGGAAACAACGCGAAGGCCAGAATACCTGGGCCAGGCAGCGCCCCTCGCCACAGTCACACTTAGCAAATCCTGTGCAGCGTGTTTCTCCAGGAACTGGCGTAACTGTGAACAGCTGCCGTTGCTGGCCACGGCCGTCCCGCGCCGCTGTTAACGTTGTTGCATTGGCTTATTTGGGGGTGGCTGTGGGACCGTAGAAGGAAAGACTTTGCGAACTCCCCGCTCCTGGCCGCGCGGAGCATCCATGCCGCGGTGGGAAAGAGCGCGCGGGGCCTGCGATCGGCAGCCCCTGCCGGCCGGCCCTGGCCCCGTCCCAGGGGTGGGATTGCAGGAGGGGCTTCGCCCTCAGGCGGCAGCTGGAGAAAGGTCATGGGGTCGTTTTTATTTCACGGAGCTGACGTGTGGGTCGGGGGACGGTGGGGGGACGGTGCGTGTTAAGCCCTTCACAGGCCGTTGAGTCACTGCTCAGCAGTGCGGTTGCAGTTTTTAATGATTGTTCTCTCTTTTTAGAAAGATTGCTGGCAATCGCGCATACCAGAGCGCCCTGACAAGTTAATGGGGTCTTATTTCAAGAAGTTTAAGTCCATTTTTACTTGCCATTAGCCTAAGAAACGTTTTATCTTTCTGTGGTCAAAACACTCAGGTGTCTCAGTAGCTCTCAGATGAGACAGTACAAGGACCGGGCCTTTTGCAGTGCAGACTCTCTTAACCTGAACCAAAAGCTGTTTTTTTTTTAATTGGCAGAAGGACATGTTTTAAATTGCAGAGTAGGGCTTCTTCAGGCCCGAGGGGATATTTTGTGGCGACTGGGAAGCGTGGCTGGGTTTGGAAGGCATGCCCACCGTTAGGCTTAACTACAGTGGGCATTGTGCTTCCCGGGCTGTTTTAATTGCGGCGTGTGATCCCCCGAGCGGCCGTGGGCGGGACAGCCTTGTTGGGGCTGTGGCCGCGCTCCAGGCCTATGCGCGCCTGTCCGTCCCCTCTGTCTGCTCCGCAGCGTGACCCTGTGGTCCTACGCTTTTTCCTGTTGCCGTGGGCTGACGTTTCATATGCACACATTCTTATTTTTATTTAAAGTTATTTTTACATGCCTGTGGAATGCGCCTGTCTCTCTCTCGGTCCACGTTAACCCCATTGGACTTGGAGGGCTCGCCCTGGAAAGGAGCTGTTGCCCAGGACACTGGCAGCTACTTCGGCCCTGCCGGGTCACTTCCCCCGGTGCTTTCTGGGGAAATGCAGATTGGTTGGTGCTAAGGATTCAAATTCAGGACCTCTGTTCCCGTGGCAGGTGACAACACCCACGTGCCAAGAGGCTGAGGGTCTGAGACACAGACTGTGTCTTGGAAAATAAAGTCCAGTCTGGAAGGAGCTGTCCCTTCCCTCGGGTGTGTTCGGGGAGCTGGGCTGGGGGCCAGGCCGCTGGGTGGCTGACTCAGCGTGGCTCGTGGAAGGGGACCAGCCTGGCTGCCCATGGGGACACCAGGGCGGCCGGGGCATAGAAACTGGGATCCACCCTCGTGCCATGTGTGTGTGGCGGGCGTTTGTGCCCCTTCCCGTTGTCAGGCCTCGACTGTTCTGTCCCGGTCTTCTCTTCTGTGGGCCTGTTACTTTAACCAAGTGAAAAAATTCCTGTGTCCAGGATGTTTTCTGAAATTTGATTTTTATCTGATTTTTATCTTATTTTACTTTGTTTTAAAAGTCATCATCCAAGGATATGTTTATTGATTTGGGGAGCGGGGAGAGGGAGGGAAAGGAGTAGAGGTCAGTGTGAGAGAGAAACACGGGTCGGTTACCTCCCATAAGCACCCCAACCCGGGATCGAACCTGCAACCTAGGTACGTGCCCTGATGGGGAACAGAACCTGCAGCCTGTTGGTGTACGAGATGACGCTTCAACCAACTGAACCACCCAGGCATGACTGATTGTATCTTTTTCAAAGGAGGCATCAAGAGAGTTATGTAACCTTATTTCAGTTCTGTAAACTCTGCGTTTCGGTTCCTCCGCTGTAAAGTGGGTAGGTGGCCGGCCGGCCGGCCTCTCGGGGCTCCTGCGGCCCCGCAGGCAAGGACGGGCCCCTGCAGAGGACGCTCTCGGAGAAGCTGCACCGTCCTCCAGCGAGAGAGCCCCGGCACGGTTGGGCCGGTGCAGAGGACGGCAGTCGTTTGTGTAGTTGGCTCCACTTCTCTTGCGTTGATTAACGGAGCAGTGTGAGTGGCCAAGGACGGAACTGACTTCTGACACTGGCGGTGTGGCCGCTCAGTCTCCCCAGTGGCAACTTCCTCGTTGAAAATTAAGGGGGGTGATAAACAGTAACGTGCTTCAGGGGCTGCTGCGTGGATTCAGCGAGGTCAGCCTGCAAGACGCTTTGCAGGCGCCGCGGCCGAGTGGGCGCTCTGCAGGCCTTCGGTGCCAGCGGTCATGGCTAAGGTGGAAAGGCACGGTATTTTTGCTGCCACTTCAAGAAGTCGTTTCAGTTCCACAGCTACGGAGCCCCGGCTGTGCAGGGCATTGTAACAGAAAGACACACGGACAAGACACAGCCCCATGTTAGCGGTTGGGGAAGGCACCCGGCACACAGAGCGCTGCTGCGCAGGGGAGTAAGCGTGGGGCCCCATTTGGAAGGACGTAGAAAGGTCTGGGGGCTGGATCCCGGCGGCGGCGGCGGCCCGGCTGCGTGACTGGGCTTCCTGCCTCTGGGCCGCGCTGACAGACGGCTCGCTCAGTCTCTACACAAGCCCCCGCCCCCAGGCGTGGGCACTCCTTTCCCTGAGTGGGGCTGTGACCGACAAGGATGGAGGACCGGAGGAGGGGACAGCGTGCGTGCAGGCGGAGGACAGGAAGACACGGGGCAGGTCAATGGCTGGTGAGGTACTGTCTGCCCTCGGCTGACCAGATGCACTCATGAGCAGGGAAGCGCGGCTGGCGGGGCAGTGTGCCAGCGTGTGGGCTCGGTGGCAGTTCATTTGGAGGCGGCACGTTTCCGCGACGTGGGAGCAGAGGAGCACTCTCGGGGGATGAGCGTGGCAGCAGCAGGGGCCGGGTGGGCGTGGGGAGAGTCAGGAAGGCCAGGCTGCCGGTGGGAGTGGGAGCGCAGGTGGGAAGCAAGGGAGAGCGGAACGCAGGCCTGGCGAGGACACGCGGCCAGCGGGCGGCTCCTGGGGCGTCGGCCCCTCCCCGCCCGCCGGAGGCCCTCAGTGGC